CCAGCGATGGGAAGCCGTCCTGGGCTGCATGCCGGAGGCGGCGAAGGGAGGCGCAGTCAGTCTGGAAGAGCAGGTCGAGGCAGTGGGAGCCCCCGGGAAGGGCTGCCAGCTGGGGAGTCAGGGTCTGCAGTCAGGGAAGGGCAGGGCCGATTGGCAAAAGGGGTCCAGAGGAGAAGGGGGCGGTCAGAAGAGGAGAGGGTGGAGCCCAGGCTGCTAGGAGCCGCCAGGGGCCACAGGCCCCCACTGGGGCTCTGGGCGTGGCTGGGGAGGACCCCCCGCCCAGGCCTCCCTCCGAGCAGGTGCCCAGCCCGAAGCCGAGTGGGAGCTGGGCTGCCCTCCCCCACCCGCCCGGTCTCCCCAGTCACCCTGGCAGCAAAGGGCCAGGCCCAGATGCCACAGGGGGCCAGAGCTGGCCTGAGGGTGGTCCCTGATGCCCAGGGAGGCTCGGGTGAGGCCGCCTATGGGAGTGTGTCCGGAAAGGCCCTGTGGGTCTCTGAGCTGCGCCTGAACCAGGTGGGGGGGAGCCTGCCTGCTCTGGGTGGGGGCGGGGGAGCAGGACTCAGTGACGCCCACCAAAAGCAGCCATCGCCTGTGGGACTTTTGTGCTCCTTGCAGCTGCCTTCCCAGCGTGCTGTCTGAGGGGGACACCTGCACCTCTGGACTGCACACCCCCCTCCTCTCCCTGCTCGCCTGGTGGTGCCCCTGGCTTGGGCAGCCCAGCCTGCGCTCCAGCCCCACCAGCTGCGCTCCAGCCCCACTATCTACCCACCAGCCCGGCACCCAGCCCCTGGGGAAGAGGAGCAGACGGGCCTCATGGGGGGGTTGGTGCCCTCTGGTGGCTTCACCTTGAATTCACATTGTGCCACGCCCTGGCTGTGTCCTGGGGGCCTGCCCCTCATCCTGTGCAGGGGGCAGGGTGCCAACCCACTGCCACCTTGGAGCAAGCTCCTGTGGGCTCAGTCCCTGCACGGCCCCCTTCCCACCTGGGACCAGGGAATGCCTAGCAAGACTGGGTCCATTCGGGAAGCTTTTGGTCCAAATGCGCAGATTTTGCAGGGACAAGATGCCCAAGGCGGGAGGGCAGGGAACCCTGGGCTCAGGCAGAAGGCCTGGCTCTGATGTGGCCTGTGGGTCAGGAGCTGAAGTGCTGGTCCCCAGGGAGACCTTCCCTTCCTGGCCCTCTGTCTGGGGGCCTCTGTGCCCCACGCTCTGGGGCCCACCCCACCCATCCTCAGACTCTCTGGGGGCAGCCAGTACGCCTCCTGCGGGGTCCCTGCTCCGCCTGGGGTGGGAGCTGCCTGCTCTGGTCCAAGCCACTACCTGCCTGAGGGTCCCCTGTGGCTGGGGCCTGTGCCAACTCCAGGCCCCAACCGTCCACCCAGAGGGAGCCAGGCCCCGCCCCCAGCCGCCCACACAGAGACCACATGGAGGGGATGCAACAGGCATGGCTCTGGTGAGACAGGTGAGACAGGTGTCTGGGTGGCAGGGCCGGCAGCCAGACAGATGGACGGATGGGACGTCACAGCCACCCCTCCACGGAAGTCGAGGGCAGCGGGCCCCCGGGAGAGACCGAGAAACTGATGTGACAGTGAGGTGGTGCGGCCACCTGAGGTGTGAGGAGCCCCGGACCGGGCGGCTCTGGGCTCCCAGGGCCCCGGGCGTGGCCCCGAGACGTGAGGCTGACTGGCTGACCAACAACATGACACAGCTTCCGATGGCGCGTGGCGTCATGGCATGGGGATACTAACGCAGAGACACATGGGGACGAGGACCCGTGAGGGCCAGCGGGGGAGAGGCCCGAGAGGGGGGGCGGCTCTGGGCTCCCAGGGCCCCGGGCGTGGCCCCGAGACGTGAGGCTGACTGGCTGACCAACAACATGACACAGCTTCCGATGGCGCGTGGCGTCATGGCATGGGGATACTAACGCAGAGACACATGGGGACGAGGACCCGTGAGGGCCAGCGGGGGAGAGGCCCGAGAGGGGCCCAGAGAGAGAGAGAGAGAGAAAGAGAGAGAGAGAGACCTAGTGTGCTGAGTGAGTCGAGATGAGGGCAGAGGCCACAGCGGTTGGGATGGGGGGGGTAGGGTGGGATGAGAAGGGGGGGGGGGGCACGCCTGGGGCCCG